GGGGGAGTTTGAAAGCTCAGCGTCCGTTTCGAGTCCGTATGCGACCACGGCGGTGGGGAAACCGCCCTCACCGGCTGAACATGGTCTGTTGGCGACCTCCACGACTCTATGGTGGCTCGCGGTGACTATCAAGACCTGCGACCTTTGGAGGGAGGCGTCGAAACGGCGTCTTGCCCACTGGAACACTTCGTCAAGGTTGGTCGCCTGGCCGCATAAAGTCATGGCAGGTACGTCGGCCACCTCCAGAGCGATGAAGCTGCTGGGAGGATACACGTCGGGCAGCTGACAGACGTGGAGGCCGCTCGCCTGCAAGCTCTGCAGCAGTGTCAGCGCACCCTCCCGGACTTCGGGAGAAAGCGCCAGGTCGACCAGAGCTGGCACATCGACGTCTTCCGGATTCAGGCCCAACTCCGGCGCCAGCTCCCCGACGCATTCGCGTAAAATACCGGAAGCTGCCAGAAAAGGGGTAGCGAGGGACTTCTGAGCGAGCCTTTCTAGGAAGCTGGCAGTGTCGACTCCGTCGGGATCGAGGACCAAGAGGGCTTTGTCGAGGGAGGCCGAAAAGTCCTAGGAACGGACGTGTATGCGGGTGGAAAGAAGAGCACAACACGCACCAGAAGAGTGTCACGCGTGTCAAAGACGATGACACGGAGTCCGCTGAACGCAACAGCGACCGTGGTGGGTGCCGGTTTGTACGCCGAAGCGCCGTCCGTAGTGCCAGTATACTGTGCGGCTTCCGAATCCCATGTGCTCTGTGAGGATGACGGAACATCGGCAAGTGCAAGCAACTGAAGGTGGTGTCGCGACGTGGTGCGCACTGGCGGAGAACAGCGCAGTGTGGTGGGAGGGTGTTGCAGGATGTAATTGGTGGGAAAGCTGCGGGCGTAAGTGATTTCACGAATGCAGTGAGCTGCTCTCGGCCAAGAGAAGTCGCAGACCAATCTAGAGCAAATGGCACCACTGTCAGTGGGCGTACCCGGTCAGAAAGCAGGTTTTTTCGGAGCTACCTCCGGTAGGTATCCAACTCCGTGTACACCGATGGAGTCAAGTCTTGGAGGTGGGAGAGCGGAAGGAACTCGAATATGAGGGGTCCCTCATGTGCACCTTCGGGCCCGGTCCAGGTCGACTGGGCCCGACGGAACATACGTTCGGTGCCCCAACGGGCGATGAACCTCTCTCGACTGACCGCATCGAGACAGCAGTCCTCCTGCTTTTGGTCCGCCGGGAGACGTGGAAGCCGCGCGATCATAGAGAAAGTATGCAAACACAGAGGCTGGGGGAAGGGCAACGGCGATGTCACCGTCAGGCCACCGGGGTCGTGCAGTGGAGCTGGCAAAAGTGGGAAGCTGGTGTAGCCTTCCGGGGGCGGGCATCCTTGCGGGGCTATAACGAAGAGGTTGTGCATAAGGTCCTGCTCGGTCGATGTGGTTTCTACCCCGAATCGGAACGCCAGGAACGAGCGGGTCGCGGGGAGCTCCTTTGTCACAGTGTCCAGCGCCAGGGGCCACGTCCGTTCCGCCGACGAAACAGGAAGGAACCTTGCCACGACGAGGGAACAGGGCTCGTCCATCAGGCCCTCCCGGGAACAAAGCGTAAATGCGCTACGTGGACAGATGTGACGTGGCCATGGTCACCATCGGTCACGGGGTTGCGGCTCATTTCATCTTTTCATCGGTTTTTTTTGGGGGGGGGTGCATGTAAGGCAATCTCAAAGTCACCACCCGCGTCGATCTTTCAGAATATGAATGAGGCTGGGACCCCGAGCTAGAATCGAACTAGCGTCTCCCGAGGAACGATTCCGGGCGCACTACCGCTGTATCATTTACCGCTCCAGAACACGCTATAGGGACGCGAAAACCTTCCTCGGCTAACTCGAGACTCAAGCACCCAAACTGGGCACTCCTTATTCCGCCTCGGGAAATCTCGTGCACTCTCACTCGACCTCGGGATACGCTGTCCACACCTTACCCACTCAGAAATACTATTTCCTGACGAATGCCAAGCATAGAATCAGACTCACGACAAAGTTATACAAAAACGTCTTCTCAAAGCCCCTCTAAACCCCGAGCTGGGATCGAACCAGCTTCTCCCGACGGAAAGATAATTCGTAAAGTGTCCAATAATTCTCGTAGCCGCATCAATCACAATGACTTGAAGTGTCAACAGTACATAAACTGTGCCTGAAACTCATAGTTTCAGTCACAGTTTGCCTCTGGAAAAACTTATAGTTTCTGTTAGTCTCTCTTGACAGACGCTGTAGTATCCGACCTTGCTCGTTCCTCACAAGTTTCTGTGACGTTTCCAGATGGCCAGGTGAGTATTTATTTCCCGTGTGTGTCGTTTAAAACCCGCTCAGCAAAGTCGCACGAAGGAAAAAGTACTACCCCTCTAAGCCCTGAGCCGGAATCGGACCAGCATCTCCTGCGAAGGAATCTTACTAAGCATCCAACATGTTCCGCAGACGCATTAAAACTTGTTGCGCAGGAAAAAGACGCCTTCTTCTGGAATTCAACCAGGGTCTCCTGCAGAAGAGAATCCGCGCACGTCTAGGAATTAGCAGGGGGATCACCCGGGATGCAATCGGGATGCTATATCGCTCAGCAGGAAGGGTATAAGGCATACCGAGGCGTCTCAGTGAAGTTACTCGGCAAACTCTTCTGGGAGAAAAAGATTCTTCCAGAACCGGCGTCATCTACAGAAACGATGACCCGTTGCGCTATAAGTATTGCAGATGCATTATCCACTATGCTATCGGGACACGACAAGACACGGCGGGAAAGCTATAACTGGTCTCGGCGAACGGGCTCGGCAAACCCTGCTACTCAGAAGCACTACGTTCCGGCCCCTTCTAACCTCAGGCTGAGGTTAGCTATGGGAAGGACTGTGTAGGTGTCTAGCTGTATGAAGCTCTGCGTGGCTTACTGTGGCCGACTGTAGCTCTTACTGGAGCGACTGAACTGCCAGGACAACAGAGGGTGAGGGCAGGTCGCTACGCTGACACCCCATCACCTACCAAAAATCAAGCGTAGTTGGCCTAAACACGGTAAGCGTAGTCATATGCGTTGACCTGCCCTCAGCCTCCATCACCTACAAAAGGTGAGGTTAGGTGGGACCGGAACGTAGTGAAGAAAAACAACATCCCAGCTGGAGTCAAACCAAGCATCTCCTACGGAGACGGTTTTCGGTCTTGCTCGGAGATCATACTACACGAGAAGAGCGTCGGCGAATTAGCTCGGCAAACTCTCCACACGGAGGGGAAAAAACGATCTCCGACCTGAACGAAGCCCGGAGCTAGAATCGAACTAGCATCAGCCGCACGCACATGTTTAGGCATCGCGGTCGCATTTACCGCTATTGTACTATTTCGACCAAGTACTGCATTATTTAGTTCAATTCGACCGTCACCCCTTGGTCGATGGCTAATTTTGGTCGCGTCACGCGGCCCTTGGTTGAACACCAATTTTGTCACGCGGGACCCAAAATCGCGTTTTTTTCAGCTCTATGACACGAAAAATGCAAAATTTCCGATTCCCTGGTCGAAATTTGCCAGTTTGTCACCCAAAATTCGGTCCTTGGTCGGATGGTCGAACTGGTAGAAAAGGTCACGCGTCACGCCCCTGGTCGAACTGAACGAAATAATACAGTATTCATGGGGTGTGACCAGTGACCCCATGTATTCATTTTTGAATTCATGGCCAGCTGGGACCTGTGACCGAATTTTCAAGCATTCATTTCCTAAAATTTTAAGTTCACAAACAGGCACTGTTTGTGCTATTGGGGACCGAAAATGTCCGCTTTTGGCTTATGTAATCTCAAAGCTGATTGGTTGGGGACCTGAAAGGTGACCGGCATTGCCCTTCGTCATTCAAGTATTGTTCTTTGATTAGGAGGCTCGCGACGACCGAGCGAACATCGAGCTGGAGTCAGCATTAATGTGCAATAAACCAGGGCTCCCCCGCATAAAACTCACCTGAACTGAACTGGGTTTTGGTTCAATTTTTTCAACCGTACACTGCGTTCCCAGGCCCCGGAGACAGAGGCTGTGTCGAGACGTCACGACACACCTCGACACAGATCGTCTGTGTAGGTGTGTCTCTCTACCTGGGGTTTTGGTTGAAAAGGAGGAATACGGGTCTCTAATACTCCAGAAGTACCCATTTAACGATTCCCGATGACACAGATGATGCATTGTCCCGAAATAAACACGTTCAGCGGCGGTTGCGGGTATCGGAAGACATCGGACAGCTTAACCATCGGCTTCGCCATTTATAATTAGTTTTGAACCAAAAACGACCGGAAAATTACCCACGGTTGCCATGAGGCGTTGGTCGTGGTCCCACGCTGAAAATGGACCAGATGGAGAGCGCCAGGGGTGAAATGGGCATCTGAGGTGCAGATCGAGGCGCAGAGACACAGGTGCGTCGAGACGACCGCGCCGAAGGCTCAGTAAACGGAGATGAAGGTGTGTTGAGCTCATCGAGACAGACTGCGTTTCGGCAACGAGACACATATCGATAGCCGGCCACAGCCTCTGTCTCCGCGGCCCGGGAACGCAGTGGTAATTTCACTGTTCTCGCAACTCATCCTCCGGAGGCAGTATTTCTCTTTCCCGGCTGTTTGTGACCCGCCGCTTGCGGCTACTCCCTATCATGTAATACACCACTGCAGAGGGCTTGAAAATATGTCGATTATCTCATCTCTGGTGCTCTTGGCATTTGAATTTGTGAAAAGCGAGGCCAGATGCATCAATATCCAGACCATAATGGCACGGAGAAAATTTGGTTTTTCAGCGAGAAAGAAATCATAAAACAGCCAAGTATTCATGGCCTATAGTGACCTGCGACCTTTTCACCAAGTATTCAATTCAGTTGGCCTTGTGACTAGTGACTGAATACTTGGTCGAAATAGTACAGTATCGAGGCACGACACAACAAGTGAAGGAGCGGCTATACGAAACTCATTGGGTGCCGTCGGCAAACTATTCTCGGAAGGAAAAAGAGTATCCCGGCCAGGAATCGAACCTGGACCTCTCCCTGTGCAGTTTTTTTTTCTCGGGCCTCACGGATCTGGGAGCGCACTAGGCATTGCACTACCGGGATTTGATGTTGAGAGACAGAGTACAAGGTTGACCTAAGACATGTACTTGGGAAAGCAACTTCGGCAAACTTAGTACTTCGGGGAGTAACTTCGCCGGCCCGGCTGTGCTCACTGCTGGGGGCCAATGGGGGTATTCCGAGGGCAGTTTGAAGAACTTGGCAGGGGAAAGGCAGTGTCCGGAGATCAAGGAGAACTTGGGAAACGACACTCGGCAAATTTGGAGAGGGCAGGAGAGTGTCGGGAGACTAGGGTCGGGCCACCAAACGACTATTGGATCAAGGGACACGGTCTGTTTAGCTGATTAAAGGTCTTTGGAGGTCTGTCTAGCTGACTGTGGATCAATGCAGGCACTTATAGATTGGCTTAGGTGCCTACCCAGAATCAAACCAAGAAAATAGCCTTGTAAAAACCTGTACTGTGTTGAATCTGATTGGGCCGATGCGGCCGGGAGGCTGTGCTGCTGATGTTCAATCTTTCGGTCTGGTTTCCATGTGCTGGGTTGTGTGCATTCGTAGCAATCGTTGTGCTGACGGTGCTGCTAACCGTCTTGATACATTGCAAGTGAGCGTTGAGCCGACCAGTGGGCAAAGAAAATTGCACGGCCAGCTGGCCCTAAATCCACAGCATCGGTTCCTTTGTCCGTCGAAACTCATGGTAAAGTTTAAACAAGATCGACAAAAATAGATTTGATTGATCCCCGGCAAAAAACAACAGCCTTGAGGACAGACAAAAGCAGGTATTTATGGGTCTGAGCAAGCGGAAAGGTGGTTCTAGACATGGGTGGCCGAGCGTAGTTTGCTACGCTCACCTACATTGGTCTGCACCGACCTGCGCTGACTGAGCGTAGGGCGGCTAGAAACAACCTAACCTGAGAGGTCATCACCACTCCATAATTAAGCGTAGTCATCCTAAACAGAGTCTGTGTAGTCATCTACGCTGACCCAACACTGACCTGACCTGACAGGTCGTCACCACCCCGGACTTGGACCGGAACGCAGTGGGTGAGGCTGATGTATATACGGAGTATATCAGTTGACCAGGAGTGGTCGCGTTGCAGCTTCTTGAAGGGTATAAATACGTTGAGAAGCGGGCGTGAGAGGTCAGAGTTCGCGTCAGGAAGAGCGATGAATCATAACGAGATCAACCACAGTCAGTCAACAGCCATGGTACGCCTCCTACAATTTATCTTCGTGCTCCTGCCAGTGAGAGTATCCATAGAGACCTGCATTGAATGCTTGTGTGCATCAAACCCCATCGGTACAAGTTGCCTGTGCCGAACGCCGGAAGGTTGAATGTCACTTGACCCTATATTCAGCATGAACCAACGCTGTTTAGCGTCGTGTACACTTCCAAACGGGCGCCTCTTATCTTTCGGAAAAACTCAAAACTTTTTCGCGGGAGACCTAACTCCGATTTTTTTTTTTGCGCGGGCCGAATATTTTCTTTTCCCACGGGGCCCAAAAATTTTGCGCCGGCGTGCCTTCCCCGCGTAGAAGAATTCAATAATGTACTCACGTGGTGGTCGGCAACCCTGCCGAGATTAAGGATGTGAAGGGAATACTGTACTATTAAGTTCAATTCGACATGGGGTGTGACCCGTGACGATTTGAACCAAATTCGACAGCCGACAACTGGCCGCGGTGACCGTGACCGACGGCCAAAATTCGACATTTTCGACACGAAAATGTGCAAAAAACAGTACTTTCAGGTGAGCCGTCGAGAGTGTCACGGTGGTCTAATTCGACAACCGCCCCTAGTGACCCGTGACACAGACCAAAATTCGACACCGACAAGGGTCCCATTGAACTTAATAGTACAGTAGTATGCCCCATAGACCCCCTCACCATCCTCATGAAAGCTGAGAAGGAAATTTTGGGATGGGTAAAATCTGCTGGTCACTGCGTTCCGGTCCCACCTAACCTGACCTTTTGTAGGTGATGGAGGCTGAGGGCAGGTCAGTGTAGGTGACTAATTATAAGTTCCTGATTCCGAGAACGAGTGAATATATATATCTGGCAACGTTGTAAAGTCGTTCCTGACCCCTGTTTCGCAGCGCACCGTCAACAGATACGTTTCCTTTCACCCTATGCATTTGGCTTACCTGGTGGTAGTCGGACTTTAGTGACCACAAGTCCGACGGGTAGGTCGCATCGGGCGACACCCTATCTGCGCGACCTCTACGAAGCGCCTGCTCGTTGAGCATCTTACAGCTGGCATCTCAATTGAAGTCGAGTATCGTGTTAACAAGGTTCTGTCCGGATCCCTGCTCGCGGCGTGAATTGTGTCCTGCAGCTTCAGTTTTTTCTCACCGCGTTTAAGACAAGTCTAGGCAGAGTCTGCGGAGGTCCGGCAAGGTGACCTACCAGACCTACACAGACTCTCTGTTGAGGTTGGTGAGGTGATATCCAGAGATCTACACAGGGTCTGCTAAGGTGACAGTCCCAGAGGGTCTGTGTAGGTCTGTGTGGGTGACACAAACAGACCTGCACAGACCCGGTGTAGATTCAGCTTAAACGCGGTGAGGCCTTGTAACGACGCGGATTTCAGGCGTGATTTTAAGCCATCTTCGACCTCTGGCGCCTCCAGTGGCAAAAGGTCGGGAAAGGGTGCGAGTGCGCATTTCTTTGCGCCCTTTGAGTTTTCGTCGGGCCAGAGGATGTACAATTATAACGGGTCAGTCTGTGCACCTATGTGGTGAGACAACTGTCAACGGCATGGGATAAGGCTGCTGGCTCAACAACCAATACGTTCCCCAACGTGAAGAACAGAGATGCAGCAGAGGCCATCTGTCTCACTCTGCAACAAGGACGAGACAGGTTCGGTTGTCCCCCGAAGAGATTTTCCTTCTTTCTTTTTTCAGCCCCGCGACCACACATCAAAGTATTACCTAAACGAAGGGCGACCAAAATGTTTATGTAATCGTATAGTCACGTGCCATCTCCGAGGGTTGCGATTTCGTATTGAATTCTGAGGGCCACTGAGGGCCGTCGGAGTGTCTGGGGTATAACCGGCTCTGGAGGCGATTCGACGATTCCTGCCACTTCTCGCAACCATCCCGGCTTGCGGGTTAATTATTTCTGAATCGTCCCACTTACCACCGTTGACATCTGAGGTAGGATAGGAGAGTGGCATATGATTCCGATCAAATCGGACACCCTCGACGGCCCCAACTGGTGAAATTCCAGTGAACCAAGCGGATGACCCTGGAATGCTTCTGCAGACTTGAGGATCATTACACCAAACGCTCCAATAAAAAAAAAAAAAAAAAAAAAAAAAAAAAAAGATAAATGTCCGATCCATTTAGGCTGATTTTGGCCGTTTATGGACACGACTTTTTCGCGGAAGTCCGTCAGCATTGCGATCCGGTAGGTCGTTTTTTCACCCCAACCGTCAGCATTGTTGACCGGAGGTCCGAGCGACGGACGTCCGTCAGCATGAGCGATTGAACCACCAAATAGGGGCAGAAAGACAGTGATTCTGGGACAAAAAGCAGACCACCGGGGCATTGTTGAGGAGTTCAGAAGGTTTCAACCGTAATCTGTCATTTATCAGATTTTACCACCCAGGGTACTCAGATATCCGAGCACTTTATGGGGAGACACAACATGTTTAAACCTGAAAAGCCCAAACATCCACCACCTTCTGCCCTTGGGTGGATTGGACATGAGTTGCAACGGTTGGTTTCCGTCACCCACTTGGATACAACTATGGTGCAAATAGTGGTTCTGACCGTCAGCATTGTGATGGGACATAGGGCCCCGTTTTCGCCCAAATCCGTCCGCACTGGGATTGGACCTTTTCCCCCATATACCACTCTCCTGGTAGGATCGATCAGATTCGGCCACTCTAGCTTCCCCTCTTATGTACTATTTAGTTCCACCTTCCAGAACACGGTGGAATGGCTGCCTGGGAAGCGTCGAAGGGTATCCGTTCCCGAGTCAGCCTCCAACATCCTAGCTTTATGGTTGGTTGCGATTACAAACATTCTAATTCGACCAAGCTCCCGACTTTTCGCCGGGAAACAAATTCGGATAGATCGAGAAAAGAAAATGGCCGCAATAAAATAATGTCGGGCGTGACGCGGGCCGGTCGATTTGAACAATAATTCAATAAAAAAGAACAGACTCTTAATATAGCAAGACTGATACAGTATTTGATGCATGTTAAAATGCGTGTCATTCCTATCTTATCTTATCTAGATTCTCGCTCTCGTCATCTCGTGTATATCAAAAAAAACCACAAAGGTCGAAAGTCGTTGGCTTCTTTTCGTTTTACGCGTCGGCGACGCTCGACAATCACCGCCTTCCCCGGCCCCCGGAGACGGAGGTTGTGTCGAGACGTCGTGACACACCTCGATCAAAGATCGTCTGGGTAGGCGTGTCTCCACCTGGGCTTTTGTTTGCAAAGGGGGAATGCGGGTCTCTAATAGTCCGATATGATGAGCGCCACGGGTGAAGTGGGTGCAGATCGAGGCGCTGAGACACATGTGCATCGAGACGACCGCTCCGAAGGCTCGGTAAAGGTGTGTTGAGGTCATTGAGACATGCAATGTGTTTCGACAACTAAACACATACCAATAACCGGCCACAGCCTCTGTCTCCGCGGCCCGGGAACGCAGTAAAACTGCTGACGGCACGTCACTTCATCACATGCATGTCACGTGGTTGCCACTTGTTCTCATTCGACCAAACCCGTCCTCGGAAAAAGCAAACAAAAGATAAAATAAAAATGCCACGTCGCCGCCACCGCCGCCCTGGCCCTGCTGACCCCCCTCTCGAGCTGGTCACATCCCCTGGTACTGCCGCGCCCTCCGTCCACTCCGGAGTTTCCCAGGCAGGCAGGCAAGCGAGGAGGACTCGGAGGAGGAAGGTGTGAGCTCCACCGGGCTTCAACCGTTCTATGGCTTACACCCTTCATACAGGCTCCTACTGACCCCGAAGCCGTGGATGGAAGGGAACCGGCCTTAGCATCCCTCGACTCCAACAAGTCACCTCAATCCCGCCCGTCGAGCAGCCCTCAGGTCTGCCGGAAATTTCAGCAGGGTGTCTGCACCCGAGGGCATCTCTGCCGGTATCTTCACTGCCCGAGCCCAGAACAAGATGTGCGTAACCAGTCTCTGCACCAGGAACTCGATTGACTCGATTGACCTAGCTGCAGCCTCGTACAATGACACCAAACGTGGTACATACCACATTCCACGACTGCAAAGTCGCAGTCGGCGCAGGCTTTCAGATTCGGCACCTCATCCCCAGCTTTGAAACGGTGTGCGTCGAGCTCGGCGCCGACGCCTCTCGCAAGGCTCCTGTTCCCACCGACGATACGCTGCTGAGAGTTGACTGGACGCTGCCAATGAAGACCTTCTATGGGGGCTACTCGTCGTTGGCTCTCGCAGAAGAGGCTGTGCGGAAAGCCGAAGCCTACGGAGGCCTACAAATCGCGGCGTCCATTTTCCCCGGCCTCCCGAGCATTGGCGTTGTTACCGTCGAATTTCGGTTCGTCCCAGGCACTGCCGACGAAACCTGGATGCAGCGGTTCGAACCGGAGGATCTCATGTGGTGCAGACCCGACTACGACTTCAAACCTCTTCAGCCCGACGAGGTTACGAATCGCGTGAAAAGCATACTCCGCAGCTCGCCGTGCAACGCTTCCCGCGTAGACGTATGTCCCCCGCCGTACGCCCGAGGGCTTGTGAGGGCGTGGGCGACCTTCCCTACCTCCGACGCTGCACACTCTGCCGCTCGGCTCCTCCGAAAAATCAAGGCCTGGTTCGGAGGTCCAGGTCATGTTTTCGTCCGGCAGTTCCGGACACTGAGCTTATCCTTCCCCCTCGCCGACTTCAAGAAGCACGTGCACCTTTTCGGAGCCTTCCGTTCCGCCGTCAGGCAAAAGGCGGACGTGGTGGTCGATGTTAAAAGCCTCACTGGTCGTGAAGTCGTCACCCTAGCGGCGGTTCGACTGCAAGACCTTCGCGAGCTCAAGAGTGAACTCGAGACCCTGCTGACAGGCGAAACCTTGAGCTGCGATGGTGTTCCGCTCTGGCACCGACAATTCACGCAGCGCACCTGCATACAGCGTGTAATGGCGGACGAGGCCAGAATCAGAGTTGAAGTCGACCCTGTCCGATGCAGGGTCAAGCTGTTTGGGGTTCGTCCCGCCCGTGCAGCCGCGCGGGCAGCTCTTCTTCGGCAGCTCGCCGATGTCGACGCCCAACGGGTGCGGACGATCACTGTTCGCGCCGATGTCGCTCGGGCGTTCCTCGCCGGAGCCGAGCAACGCATTTGCGCCGATTTCGAACCTCACACCGTCTCGACGAACGTATGGCGGCGGACTATTACGGTCCGCGGACCGGATACGGTCTACCGAGCAGTGGAAGATGCTCTGCACGACGCCGAGCAAGCCTGCCCAAGCAGCTCGACCTCCCTCCTTTGCCCTATCTGCCGCTGCAACATACTCTCCCCTGTTGCCTTACCGTGCGGACACGAATGCTGCAAGGCCTGCATGTTAGAGTACCTCCTAGCCTCTGACGCCTACCACTTCCCCCTGCGATGCCTCGAAGGCGATTGCCCCCAACTAGTACCGCTCGATTTTGCGGACATGCTTCTGAGTCCGACTCAATACACCTCCGTCATCCACTCGGCGGTGACCTCATACCTAAGGCAGCACACCGATGTCTTCAGGTACTGCCCATCCCCCAATTGTCACTGCATCTACCGAACGGAGGACAAGGCCGGTGTCGTTCGGTGTCCAAGCTGTTTGATTTTGATCTGTCCCGCCTGCAATGTCGAGGCTCATCCTGGATTCGAATGCAGGACCTCCGTAGGGTCAGATCTTGATCGCCTATTTGATGAGTGGAAGGCGGGACGCGATGTCAAGGAATGCCCTCGATGCAAGTACCTCATTGAGCGGGACCAAGGCTGCTACCACGTGCTGTGCACATGCGGTGCGCATATATGCTGGGTCTGCTTAGAGACCTTCGATCAGGGTGCAACAGTTTATGAACACCTGAATGCCCGCCATGGTACAATCGGGCTCCCGCAGCAACCATGAAATCGGCGGGCCAGATCGTTGCCAGTCGGCACTTTGATACGTTAGCGGAATCACCCGAATCTCCATGTCACTGTATCATACTTTGCCTAACGCGTAACACCCCGCGATCACTTGGTCGAGACAGTACAGTACTACGACGATCCCTGGCTGAATTCGAATAGTGCGTGTCGCTTAAACACAGATGTACTTTTACTATACACATCACGCATTTGGGAGTTTTCGATATGGGCCGCAGGCGCCAGCTGGGGAGGGAACGAGCGGTTCGGACACGCAGCAGTCATGGGCTACCGGCGCCGCACCAGAGGTTTCCTCGGTGATGGTTCGTGCTCTCGGACGCTATGCTGCGCCGTTTTACTGCTAGTGGAAACCGGCATGGCGGATGTTTGCTGATGTTTGTGTCTCAATAGAACTCGGTTTTTCATGTTCCATCATGCTGCGGTTTCCACAACCAATTTCGGGGCCTCATTTTGGCTGTATGAAATATTCAGCCATGTGATGGGTATACAGTACCCCTGAAATCCATCTAAATTACGTGCACGCTCCGCGCTACGCCATTCCTTAATCGAACTAGATTCTGGTCGGATTCGTACCAGGCTCTCACCCCCCTCAAAACAAACTCCTTAGCACCAAAACCACACACACCACCACCGGTAGCCAAACCCGCGGCGCTTGCAGCATATGTGCGCTATCCACAAGCGGCACTGCCAGTCCCACCGTATAATTCAAACAGTTCAGCAGATTCATGTCGATGCCCGCCGGCAGCGTTGTGTCCGCGGTGGAGTTCTCCGGCGCGAACACGGCGCTGTTGTTGTACCCGTCGAGGCTGAGCGCAACGGAGCTCGCACGGTAGTATTGCACGACCTGCTCCGGCCCGGGCTGCTGAGTGGCGTTGCTGAACGGCGTGGCGGCGTTGCTGGCCGCGGGGACAAGGTACATGGAGCAGTTGGCGGCGATGTCCGACATGAGGTCCGCGACGGTGGAGTTATCGGACACGATACGGAAGACAGTACCCGTAGAGTTGGACTGGAACGATGCGGTGAACTGCGCGCCACCTGGTCTGGAACTATTGTCGGGCGCGCCGTACTATCCGGCCAATTCGAGTCAGATACGTGGCAAAGCATGAGAAGCGGGAGAGGAGAAGACACACCTCGCTTGAGTGCATGTACGCGCTGTTCGAGCCGTAGCCTATCACCGTGCCCCATGAAAGCGGCCAGAAATAGAAGGGAAACCCGCGCCCAGCAACGCCTCGGCCGTAATATCCAGGATAGCCACTCCCGTAGGTCCTGAATGCTATCAATCAGCGCTGCAACGTCGGGTAATAATTGCCTCGACTCGCCGACTTCCGTATATTTGGCTGCGCGACGCGCCTCCTACACGATTAAATAAGCTGCGTGCTCTGTAGTATGGAAACCTGTGTGGCATCGCGTACCTTGCGACCTTCCGGCAAATGCATGCCCAGACGAAATAACGCTTGCCTTCCCACCGCCGTTGTTGTAGCTGGTGATGGATTTTGTGGTGCCACCGGGGGTAATGGACGAGGTCTTGCCGCCTGACATAGTCCATTCATTGAAGCTAGGTCTCCCAGACAGTGGAGAACTTGCCACTAGAATTCGACCCTCCGCCTTTATTGGTCGTCCCGCCGCTTTTGCCACCTCCCTTGGCACCACCCCCAACACCCTTACCCCCCGAAGCTCCGCCTCCCCTTCTTCGAGACAATAGCGAACCTTTCCTGGGTCTGCTGCGCGGCTTGCTGAGGAGCGGGATGAAAACCATGGGTTGTGTTATAGATGTGCAGCGCAGGGAAAGGTTGATGCTGTAACACGTCAATTAGACTTTTATATGAGAGGCGCCTTGCACAGCTTTGAGACTACACGGCAAAATTTATTTCAATTATCCTCCCACAATTCGCTCTTTGTCTCGAGCCACCGTGGGCGTTCGATTCCATCCCTTTCCACCCCCCTTTCGTCCCCGAAACGACGATAAATGAACGCCTCGGTAGTTTAGCGGATAAAACACCTCCCATCGGTATGATGTCGGGGTGTGCGTTGAGGAGACGATCTGGGTTCGATTCCTGGTCGGGGCATGGACACGATGGACGGAAATCTTCCCTTTTTAGCACTCCCTCGTCGCTCGGTACTCGTGCCTCGGTGGTTCAATAGCGTTTAATGGTAAGAACACCTCCTGCCCATCGTCCAGTTGGATTTCTCGACAGGAGACGATCCGGGTTCGACTCCTGGTCGGGGTGGGATCGATGCAATTTTTTTTTAATGCGCCGGACGCGGAGGAGTCCATATATCCCACTCGTCGACGGAGGTTATCATCCCGCTGGTCCAATGGTAAGACACCGAACATCACGAGTAATTGATCTTCTTGGTTATTCAGATATCCTGGGTTCGAATCCCGGGCGAGACATGGCCTGGTGAAATCCACTTTTTCTGTCGTCGGTCAGGTGATTGTGGTTATTAACGCCTCGAGTCCTGGTGGCCGAGTCGGTAGGACGCCGAGCCTTGAGAACTAAGGGTATTCCCGATGGATGTGCTGGGTTCTAATCCCGGTCGGGTCGTGGGTCATGGTGGACGCAGGTTGTTTGCTTCGATAATCGGATGAGCGGGATGGGTGTTTAATGCCTTGTACCCTCGTCAAGATTCTCTTAGGAAAAATCTGTGGGTTAGATTCGCGATGAGTGAAGGTGTTGTCGGTGAGTGTCGGTGGTCGGTCAAAGAAAAAAGATCCACCGCCACCGTCACTCTCTAGTCTCGTTACCAGCCTGCCACCTGCCGCTAGGCAGGCTGGTACAACTCGGGACAAACAATTGGCCTGCGCGCTGAGTTTGAAATATTTTGCTCTCACTCGTCATGGCTGCATTTTGCATCAGAATCCTGAGCTCAAAGAGAACTGTCAGGCTGGACAGCAAATGTGAGCAGCCTTGCCGCTTCATATTTTTATCCGGACCCCGCCAGCCTGGTGAACAACGCATTGAAGTTGAAACCGAAATTGATCGCATTTAGTTGATGATGTGTGATGTCATGGCGCCGATCGCGCTGCTATCAATTTCAAACTCAGCGCGCAGACCAATTGTTTGTCCCGAGTTATACCAGCCTGCCTAGCGGCAAGGTGCAAGCACCAAGATATGCCGCTGGCAGGCTGGTAACGAGACTACGTCACTCTCGTCACAAGACGTTACATACACTACTTACTCTCTCTCGCCAACTCAACAGTGTCGCGTAATCTTGCGCCGATCTCGAACGAGCTGCATGCGGGCGAGGGTATTTCGGGCGGAAAATCAGAGTCGAACCATGCTGGACCGGGAGACGGACCCTTCGCCGCCGCTGCCTCAAGAAGCCTGATATGAAGGACATTAAAAGGTGTTCACGAGGAGGTCGAACTATGCACCGTAAAATATCCGCATTTTGAACCATCCACGAGTTATTGTCAGTATCCATGGTCGTCGCTTTATCCGCTGACTCGAAATTCTCCTCTACGTGAAAAGCCCGCAGACGGTCTGGCGTTTGCCGATTTCCCTGTTTTTGCTATGTTTTTGCGGCGGGATCGTTCGAAGTGGTTACTCATTCCCCACTTTGGGACAAGCTCGACAGAGATGCCAATGGCTCAGTGCGCCAGGTTAGGAAGTTGTTCTTTGTGGCGAATAGTTCATCGGGCATCTTCGAGACAAAGTACGGGTTGTTCCACTTCATCTCACCGACAGCGAGCATCATCGTCTATCCTGATGTCGAGGAGGCCGAACGTCGTGCAAAGGAATCATACGACCTTTAGGCGGCGGGTGCCAGCTACGTAGCGATTGGGAGCTTTGGATCATGCGAACGGCAGCGGTACAAGTTGCCTTCCTTGCATGCCAATCCACTCCAAGTTACTAGGTTGGATACCATCTTCGGTCTACAGTACTGTAGGCTTAGCCTTCACGTTTCCATCAGAGTTCGGGCCGAGTCTTGGCAGTGGGCCAAATCGGTCCCCCCCCCCCCCCGAACACCAGGCCAAGCTATGGGAACTCCAGAGGTATGCAGTAGGGTAGGTTCAACATGAAAGTGAATAATTTTTACAAGTCGGACAAAGTTTGGTTTCAGAATTAGCAAAACCGAGCGTCATCGTGCTTCTCCCGAACTCTGCTCGAAAATCAAAACGGTCCATCGTTTTCGAGTTAGCTGTCGTTAGAGGCACTACCTCAGTCGTGGTTTGCTTGCACAGACGAAAGTTTTTTTATCTATTTCCTTCTGTGCATCACCCAAGAGGGGTTTGAACAGAGGTGCAAAGTCCAAGTGGATTCGGCGCGGGGCTCTCAGCACGTACTGGATGATAGTAACTACCGACGACGAGCAGCGCTGCAGCTTTGCTTGTCCATCAGTGGCTGTGCATGCTGTTGCCCTGCGGCCTCAAGGTTCGCTTCCACCGAGCGTTTCGCGCCTTGATAATCTCCAGTGCAAACAACGAGTGACATGCAAGCCAGAGCAAAGCAATGGCCAGCTGCTTCAGATCCTAAGCCTCGTCGTCTTCGTCGCTGTCAGTATACCGTCTGCCCATCCTGACGGTGATGCGCGCAGTGTGGGAAGCGGGAGCGAGCCGCAAGCACGTCAGACAGAGGCGGCGTCTATCCGTGAGGTACAGTGTGACATCATTGTTGTACTGATCCCTCACGAAAGGGAAATGCTGACCCGATGCGTCCTGGACATCGAGCAGCTCCAGTGTTGGAAAGGGGCCAGGAGCACGGGAAGGGAGTAGGACGGTCCGGTACATCTCGCGGTGAGACTCGGAGCTGTAGCCGTCGATAAGCAAACGGAAGGTGCGCAGAAAGGGCAGGGTGGCGGGCGGTCCCTGGCCACGCAGGAAAAGGAGAAATTCCAACTCCAGCAAGCCCGGGGGTATCGGCAACCTGATCTGAAGTTCTTCGAGGCTGACGCAGGCGGCGAGAAAGGCGGGTGTACCGCTCCACTCGGAGTCGGGAGAGAGATCGAGTGTCGTGAGGTTGAACTGCGACCGTGCATGGAAATCGAGAAGCACTTCGACGTCGAGCGTTTCCGGAACGAGTGTGAGCCGCGTAAGGGCAGGGCACGTCAGGAAACGAAAGACGTCCTCGCAGGGGTCAGTAAGACCGATATCGGCGCCAGAGGAGACGTCAAGCCGAAACAGCTCGGGAAGGGTGAAAGCCGGCGGAGGATCCGACCCTTCCTCTGCGGGCAAAAGGCCACCGATGCTGCACTCCTGCAGCTTCGGAGTTTGCCGTAGGACCGAAATGGCGTCAAACACGGGGATGGGAAATTGAAAGTCCAAGACTCTGAGCGTGGCCCACGGCAGCGATGAAGAGCTGAGGAGTGGCACCTTAAAGCGGAGACGGAGAGACAGACGCTCGAGACAGGGCGACGACGTGAACCAGGCCAAGGCCGGACCGAGCCTGTGGTCTCCGCTGGGAGAGTCGAGGACGCAGAGGGATGCCCTGCGTAGGACCGGCAGCGTCGAACCCGGTGGAAGGGCCGCAAAGGGCAACACGGCGTCGTGGATATTGAGATTGAGACTGGCTATTCGACCTGCGGCCCCCCATATCGCGGGGAACACGCTGAGGCTGCCCTCGTGGGGCATATCTTCTGCCCACATCTGTGGAAAGGGCCATGTCCATTTGGGTCGAGAGCCCACGGTAAGATGGAGTTGCCGCGAGCCGGAACTGGAAATCGTCCGTTGAAGGGGCCCCTCGACATCCTCGCGCACCCATCCGTGCCCCGGGATTCGAACCCTCCCCCATATGCGTGGCGTGGCGAGAGCCGCGGCTCGCCAGCGCTTGCAGACCCGGGCGACGCGGAGAGCTGCCTCCATGGGGCGGTCGGCCAGATCGCAAACACATTCAAAAATCTCTCCAAGCAGCTCATTCGGCAGGGATAGCAAAGGGGAAAGGATGGATCGGAGCTCCCGAAGTTGGTTGACCTTTGCGTCCATCAGAGCGGTCGTCCGAACGAGGGCGGCGGTCTGCTCCGCGATGGAGGACTCCAACGTGGCGACTTCCGCGTCGAGCGCCAACATTTCCTGGCGTATGAGCTGACGCTGGTGAGCAGTTGGCTCTTCATTGGCGGCGGGGCGGGATGTGGTAGAGATCATCGTTGGTGAGGCCACGTGCAGTGGTAAACACTTGCAAGCAGCGATGACAAAGCCTGCCGGAGTGGGAATTTCGGCTGGATTATCCGTTCTCTCACTCTTTACTGGCTCGTTTGTTGACGCTGATTTACTCGAAGCTGTGGACGTGAACAGGTGTTGCATCCCCATTTTCTTCTCTCTGTTCCAACTCTGTTCTGTTCCTCTCCATTCTGCGTCAACGGACCCCGCTCTAAGAAATCAACCCCATACGACGTCCACGTAGCGCACACGTATCGCCAACGTTCTCTTTTTGCTGCTTTCAAAACTGCGCGGCGGCAGAAAAAGCTGTGAAGATGGACAGCTATTGCAAACTTTCTTGGATGGCCCTTGGGATGGCCTGGACAGATGGGCGTGCCTCGTGCTTCGCTGTTCAACTGTGTCGCAGCAGACAGCAGTAGACGGAAGCTGTTGAACTGCAGGCCATGGCGCTTCCGTCGTGAATAAAAGCAGGCGGCGAATGAGTATCAAATCAGCTCTTCTCATTTGATCCCTCCCTGTCCAGTCCCTCCTTCCTTTTGCATCTATTGCATTCCACGTTTCAATCACACTGCAAGCTCAGTCTGTTCAAACGATCCAAATGTCAAAACAAAAGCAAAATTCTGGACGCATCGCAACTTGCAAGCCTGGTTCGCTTTCGTCGGCCACCCTGCTTTTCGATTGCGTTTATCTTCCTCGGTGCTGTCAGGGCCTTTCACGTCGCTCCTATAACTTTCACTGCGTTCCAGCCCTTCCTAGACAGAGCCTGAGTCTAGTTGATCGCATACAGCTACACAGATGGTTTCTGTCTAGGTCGTGGCAGGTCTGTCGAGCTTTGTTCAGGTATGCGTATGCAACTACAGCACGCTACGGCATCGCTACGGCAGTCGAATGCCGTAGTTACACGTGGCCGGCCTTCGGCCACGGGGGGCCGGAACGCAGTGATTGTTTCTGGGAAGCAACTGGGAAGCCTCAGAAACATTAAGTGTCAGTGCCACGTAAACTGCGCCTGAGACTACGAGTTTCAGGTGCGGTTTGCTTGTTCCTGCGACTTTAAGTTCCCGTAACATTTCCAGATGAGCAAGTAAGTATTTTTCTCCCGTGGGAGAAGCATCATCTTACCTAAGCCGTGGGCACACAAAATCATTCCGTAATCATTTCATGTCACGTGCCTCCTTTCCCATCTGTTTCGAATCCGCTTCTGGACCACATTCGTCGCTCGAATTAGTGACGCTAATCTGTCCTGATTGCATAAGTTGTCTCCCAGCTGACAACTTGAACAGTACAAATCATCGAGTGTGGTTGTGTCTCTCTGGCAAAGCCTTTTGTTCATATGAAATTATGAATATGAGTTCCAAAATCCCGTTGCTGTAGACAGCCGGATATCAACCTACTGATGATTCTACTTGGACCTCCCTGAGGTTCATCTTTGTATTCGAGTTGCAATGTGTA